CAGTCGTTGGTGACGAAAAACGTGAGTGTGTTGGAAGGGACGCATCCGAGCAGGAGTTCGATGTGTGTGTGTTGGGGTGGATAGTTGGGTTGAGCTCAGTTCTGACGCTTAGCAGCTGCAGTGTTTATTAGGTATGGTGCACTAATGTTTGCCGTTTCTTATATTAGGTCTTCAATGCCGCTGGTGTAGCTGCGGCCTGACTGAAGCACGTGAATTGCGAGAGTTGTGCTTTTTCCGATTTGGATTGCCCATGCGTATATGCATTCCCGGTTGGGTCTCTTTGCATGTATGCGGCGATTGGTTGCAGTCGGAATTAGTGGGGGAGCTCGCCGAGAAGGAGGAGGCTGTGCTTAGCTTGAAACGCCAGCTGACAGAAGTGAAGGAGCATGCAGAGGTGAGCCGTTACAGTCGGGTAGCATTTGGTGTGTGGAGGTGGGTAGGGCGAAGTAGTGATTGCTGGTATTAGAATTTCGATTAGGGTTGATGTTTGATGTCGACGAGGCGATAGGATGTGTCGTGTTGCAGGAGTCGGTCAAGGAGAAAGATGAACAGTTGGAGAATTTGCGGAGGAGTTTGGCAGATCTTCGAGAAAAGGCGGAGCAGGCGGAGCCTCTGTTGCGCCTTGGGTCTCCCGGAACGTTGCAGTCGTTTGTGCCTACGCATGTCAGTATGGAATAGTATTGAAGATTATTTGGCCTCTCGAAAATAGCAGCTTGTGGCGGTGTTGGTGGTGTGTGTCGTGGTGATATGTGTCAAGAACGTTTGTGGTTGGGAATGCATGTTAGTTGCAAGAGTATGCAAAAGCGCTGCCTCAGTGCACAGTTTATTGGCGCCAGTGGTTGGTTAGATACCACATGTAGAGCTACCAACTAGCGTGCTGTGCAATGGGGCAGGCGTAGAGGTGTCTTCTGGAAGTGCCAGCGAATTCGATTGTTGTGAGAATTGGACCTCGTGAATCGTAGATAATGTATTGCTGTATCGATTGTCTGGTCATTAGTTGTGCAAAGCTCGTGCATGCTTATGAATTCACCATCGAGCTCCGCTGTTACAGGGCTTGGAAGATTCGTCCGAATCTGCTGACGAGGCTAGATTATCGCCGAAGTTGAACACGAGAGGCGCTGATGGTCTTATTTCTACAACCAACGTAGGATAGTTGCATTGAACATTGTCATTCTGCATCCGAAGCCGAGACGACTGTAGTTAAGCTTGTGGAGAGATTATGGTTGCCATAGAAAGGTGTGTGCGTGCCTCTATGGATGCATGGTAGGCACGGAAGCTTGATATCTCTGGGGTAACCAGCGTTCCAGCTCTTCAAATGGGGAAAGAAACACTCCAGGAGTGCTCTCCAAAACAACGAAACACGGGTGGCCAAGTAGAATTAGGGAGTTCTCCATCAAAGGACGAACTCGTTAGAGAGGCCCGCCAGCGAGAGAAAATGCTATATCAACAGCTTCAGCAGGTCCAGTGTGATCATGAAAGGCTGAAGAAGGAAAACCAAGCACTTAAGCATGCACTGATGAATACAGCCCAGGAATCTGCTGAAAAGGAGGATGCAATTCTCAGAGATAAAGAAGAGTACAACGTACTTCGGAAGGAGCTGGAGAACGCAATGCGAAACGCTCAAGACTCCAGATATGTGGCACAGATGGAAAGGGAAAGACGCATTGCCCAAGTGATGCAGCTGAAGGCACAGCTAGCAAAATGGCAGAGAAGACTTTGCAACCAACCAAGCATTGTTCATATGGGACAGTACGACATAGGCACTGGAGTTCTGTTGTAATTGATTGAAGCACTTTTACTTGGAAGTTGAGTTTTACAAGGGGCATGCCTAGGCTTTGTTTCTTAATTTTGCTGTGGTTCTGCTAGTTTTAATGTACTCAGGACGGAAGCCAAAATGGCGCCAGAAGACGAAAATCACATATCTTCCAAAGGAGGAAATGCTGTCTTTCTCAGCACAGCGGGACGACGCCGCAATTTGTCAGCAGACGCGAGCTCCCATTCATTTGATCGTACTGCATCAGGAACTTGCCAGCTTACTTCAAAACACTGCTCAGGAAGATCAACAGGTGGCAGTGTCGCACATTTAGTGCGAATGGTTGACGCCTACACACGCCACAATGTTCTCTTAGAACCCCCTTGTGACTCAGTCCTCACGGTTGTGGATCGGTTGAAGCGTAGGGCGTGAAAGAAACAGAGCAACCAACAAAATCATCCAGCAGTTGCAAAACTCGGCAACACAACCAGATCTGTTGTTACAGACTTGCTGCCGGGTTCTGCAGATGCTGAGCTCGCCTTCAATTTTATGGTTCTTGAGCTCATGGTGCCGACGTCACTCCAAGTGAAGCATCAGTTTTACACTCACACTAATCCCTCAGAACCGCCCAGTCAGCTCCTAACAATATCCAATATGTGTATATGTGGATTATTATCCGAAACAAATACCTCAGCTGAACGGTGCTGGGTGGTGTGGAGACCACGTTGTTGACAGCCACACTGCAGGTGCTTCAATGCATTGCGCTGGACAGGCGGTACTGTTGCACTAGCAGAACCACTGCACTAGTGAGGGGCAGCGTGGATTCCTTTTCGAGAAGCACAGTGACTGTGCGCAGTTTAAAGTGCGACAACTTTGCCGCAATACTCTGCGCATACCTAGGCAGAGTTCTGCACAAAACAGCAGTGGTTTGGCTGGCAGTTCGGCTGTTGAATGTGACGGAATCTTCGGTCTTAAAAATGCTGTTAGCTGTAGAGTTGAAAGGCCTCGGGGTTCGAAAACTCAGCTGTTCTAGTTCTACTCTTTAGATACCCCGGTGCGTTGGGCACTTGCGCAGAGAGGGGCTGTTGCGTAGAGGAGACTGCATTTCATGCCACCCTGCATCTGGTAGAACGTGCCACCACGCCCAAGCCTCCTTCGGATGCGTGCACTAGACAGCTAGTAAACACATACTTCTCTCACTGGTTAAACTGGACACTCACGCGAGTTGAATGCATGTGACACCGTCAGGGAAATCACGCTATATCTGTCGTAGCGTCGCTCCCCAGCCTACGTTTGCCTAGTTGTTCAGTTAATGGTGCGTGCACAGATGGGAAGGCGGGGAGGAGCAAGGGATTCAAGTCCTCAAAGCTGAAAAGAAAGAACAGTCATCTACGCACCATTTCCACCCCTCCATAAGCAGGACGAGAAGAACATGCGGGTGCTCCATACTTTTGCTGCTGCTGTTGATTTGCACCTCATTATGCAAGCCAGCTCAGCAACGTGGACACTGTCCATGGGCATATTGTGCCCACTTCCGGAGCTATCTGTCAATGGATGAATCCTAACCTAACCAAAAAAGTATATCACCAGGCCGCCTGCGCCCACATACAAGCCTGCGTAGCAGCTTTAGGCAGGCCACGCTCCACAAACACACTGCCATGAATGAAGTTGAGACATTTGCCTTACGCCATTCTGGCGTTCTAGTAGTACTATGGTGTCTTCGCATGAATCCGGGATGCTCGCGATGCTACTAAGGCGTTCGATAGCCTTAACACAAGCCTATGTCGCGACTCCACATGAACGCCTCGCCAGCAAGATAAGCCCACAGTCGATTATATACATGGATGTGCATTACTTCGGTAGAAGTGCTCCTTCAACTGAATGAAGAATGACATAGCCACCAACAAGCGGTGCTAATTGCCACATCAACGCCAACAGCCCTCCACGAACCAGCGCGCAACTAACCTGCACACATGCATGTAGATAAGACACAAAATCTGCTGTGATGAAACTTTTGCCAATTTCCACACAAGAAGTAAAAGCCAACGGAAGGTCATTACAACGTCAGCCCTCTAGGAATCGCAGCGCGTTTGTTGGCTGCAGCTCCAGGGCTGGCCGACGCGAGCGGCCTCAGAGCATACAATATGCTTGAATTGTATAATAGTAGAGCATGCTCTAGTTTACAGTGATCATATAAGATGGCAAGGTCTACACAGAATCCCCTTCTGTCGGACAATGCTATGGGGGGTCATTTTTTTGCGGACATGCTGTTCCGCGGCGCCGTGCAGTTCAAGGATGCTCTTCTTAATGGCAATCCAGTGGCTGTGGCTACCGTGTAAGTTTCCATCTTGCAAAGGTTATTGCACCGGATTTCAGCCGAATTGTGTCTCCACATCAACCCGTCTACTTACTTATTGAAGTGGCGCAACCGAATTGTGGTGTATGATGGATTTTCATTAACTGCACTGCCGCCCGCTTATCCACATCATTCGTATGAATTATCACTAGTGAAATTGGCAAGTTCTTTTCTTAGGAAGCAATTATGAGTAGCGCAGAGGACGGATGCCCGGCAAGCTGGCTGTGCGCGTGCAGCAGACTCTGCAAAAGCGACAGTGCCTCATTGCTGTATATGTGTTTCTAGGGGTATCGTTTCTTTCCTCTTCTTAACAGTTGCGGCGCGATGTACTTATTCGCTTCGGTCTTCAACGTCTTCTACGGACCACAAGGTAGGTTCACTACTAAGGACAGAAGGGGTGCCCCTTGTAGTTTACTCGCTAGCGGAACTTGTAGCGCAGCCTGTAAACGTTTTTATGCATTGGCCGCATCTCAGAGGAGCACAAACAGGCGTCGTCGCAAAGCTTCGGGTGGTGTGAGCAACTCACCCACAAAGCAAACGGCAAGTCCACCAGTCCAGGCAAGAAAGGCGCCGAAGAAGACGGAGTGTGAAACGGAAGCTTCATCAAACGCATCAATGGCGAGAACACGGGATGAATTACCTTCACAAGAGCTCGACATAACCCAGCTACAGGAAGATGGAGGTGGGGATTGGTTTGTCGTTGCCAGCAAGAAAAAGCCCAGAGCAAAGAAGGCGTAAACTGCGATGAATATTGGGGGAAGCTGGCTATTCAACTTTTTTGTTGTAATGGCACTACAATGTGTATGTTGCCTAATATACAAGGACTCACAGCGTGTCCCTTTTTTTCAGTTCAGCTGAGGACGAGGAAGCAACCGCTTCTGTATGCACGTACCCTACGTGCGTACTGTTCCCTTTAAGCGCATGTGTCGTGCGGACTAGCACTTTTTATCCAAGCTCCAAATGCTCCAGAAGATCCAGATTCATTGACTGCCAATTCGGAAACGAAACGCGGAAACGCATACCGAATGACGCCCGCCGCCGTACTACCGAGGCATCCATTGCTGTTTCCAGAAGCATGTTCTCGATTTTTGGAGTTCCATGCGATGAACAATAGCAAATGGGTTTTCAAACAATTTCTCTACATATGGGACGCTCCGAACGTGTTACTGTGTACGGTAGGGCAGGTTGGTCAAGCGAAGAGCGCAGTGACGGCTGCTGTCTGAAGTCGACAAGTTTGGTGGCGCATGCCAAGATACACTGATGAACGACCTACGTGCTGGCGCCTCGCACCATAGGTGTTTTCTTATCAAAGCGTACTGTAGATACGGCAAGCAGGTCGGTGGCCACTGGGATGAACACGCTTCCTACAGGCTTTCTCAGTGGGCAAGCATGATTGGTGATGCAGTAGAGGAAAGCCAGTAGGGCATCCGGGCTCACTCCGTGGAAATCCTTAAGTAATTTTGGCGGCAGACGACTGTTGCGGGTCGCTGTTCTCGTTACATCCTGAACTGCAAGAAGCTCTGGCTTATGCTTTGCCCACTCTAGAGCTGCGTTCGACAGGTGCTGTCATGCAACTAGATTCGTCAGTGATGCCGTTTTCGCCTGTATGTTCGAACCGTTGCGTAGTGAAACCATGAGCAGAATTGACTTTTGGGCACTTACGTTAGGTACCCCGCGCTATCACAATTCGTTTTCGGCTCAATGGTTTGAAGCGACTACTATGGGGAGCATTTTACTAAATACAGAAAGCTGCTTCAACGATAGCAAACAATAGAACTGGAGCATTCGCTATGATTGTCTGCTTACCCAAATATCGCATTTGACCAGGAGCCCAAGGCTGTAGGCAGCCCAAAGGCAGCGGTCTCGGGTCACTCGCGCATGAGTTACTTGATTATTTACAACGGCAACATAGCATGATATTTATGTTATTCTGGCTATTTAGGCCAAATGTTAAGCTGCTCCACTCCTTGGTGGAGTCCGATCAGTTCTGCTGGGGGCCCTCGTGGGGCCCGGCAGTGCAATGCATGGGTTCGTGACTTTTTGACGCAATTGGGGTGTCAAGTCCGCCATTTATGGAAGGAGGAAACGGCTCCTACTTTTCTTTAGAGTACTTGAGGAGGGCTGGGATTCTCGAAGAATCCTTTATACCCTAGGAACCGGAGCAGCGGACACCTGCCCCGATCCGTATCGAGGGAGACCAGCGCGCTTTTCGCTACTCGTCTCTATAACTTCCCATATAGCCATGGTGGGTTTGTTCACGTATACGGAGAAATGCCCGCTCTTATGTAAAGACTGGGAAGCTTTCGCAGAGTCTGGGCATAGCGGTCAACAACCAATTGAGTTTTCACTCTTCTGCGCAGTCAACAACCAATTGAGTTTTCACTCTTCTGCGCAGGGAAAGGCAAAGAAGACGCGGAAGTTTGCGGCAGTGAAACGAACCATCAATCCGAAGGATCAACGGCTGTAAGAAACAAACTTTGGTCGCTTCCCGGAAAACAACTAGTGAATTGGCATTCACATGTGTGTGCCCATGCTTCCAATTTATCATTTGCTCCAGGCAAAATAAAGAGGTGAAGAAGCAGAAGAAACAGAGGGAGAGGGAGGCAACTTTAAAAGAGCAGTAAGCATGCATCCCAGTTGAGGTCTGCACCCATCCGAGACGCCCCTATCATGTGGGGGGTACGGTGAGAGGAAGCGTAATACAAGCGACACGGGATGTATGTTACTTTGCACGTTCGCAGCGTCCAGCATAATCCTGATCAGTTCTTCAGTTACAACGCAAATCTGGTTCCCCCCTATCAAGTGCTAGTGGACACTAACTTCATCAATGGAGCTATCCAAACCAAGCAGGACGTATTACAGGGGCTTATCACCTGCCTCGTTGCAAAATGTAAGCATACGTGTGCGCGTGGCACTGCGTAGGTATTGCATTTTAGTGTCTGGTGGTATGCTGTTATGTGTAAGAATGTCCACTGTTACTAGCTCTCCCTGCGGTGTGACCCATTGCTCAAGGCGATGTATGCGTGACGGACTGTGTGGTGGCCGAGCTGGAGAAACTTGGCCATAGGTATCGACTGGCCTTGCATTTGGCGAAGGATCCACGAATAAAACGACTGAAGTGTCTACATGCTGGGACCTACGCTGATGACTGCATCGTGCAAAGGGTTACAGAGGTATGCATGTCTCAGGCTCACCAGCACGGGCATCCCGTTGTTCCCACTTTTTATAGTTCGCTTGGGTGCATCCGCGTGTGCGTTTTCAACTGTCTGATCAGCACAAGTGCTATTTGGTGGCAACAAACGATAAGGATTTGAAGCGTCGCATCCGCAAGATCCCCGGTGTGCCCATCGTGTATTTGAAGGGACGTACCTTTGCGGTAGAACGGCTCCCAGAGGCAATCACTGCTCTACCTGCTGCCAGATCAGCAATCCCGAAGATGTGAATAGAGGGTGCACTCCGGGGTTCTTTGTCAGTTGAGCTCTGCTTCTCTGTGTTCGGCAGTAATGATCACGCGTAGTGGGTAAAGTAGCTTGACCCATTTGGACGCGTTTGCATTGGAATCTAAGCCAACCAAGGGCGATTTTTGTTTGCATAGCGTCGGTGCACAGACGTTCAGAGGAGGCTTTTAATGAGATTTATCCACAACTAGCTCCCTCCTGTGGGTATTTGGTCCTACCATGCAAGTAGCAGCTGCCACCGAAGCAAAACTTATAGCTTTGTCATGCTTTTACAGTCGAGTTACTGCACTGCATGCATATTATCTGCACCTCAAAACGCATTGCCCCAGTCAACCCTTAAGGGGCCCTTCGGAAGCAGGGGGCTAGGCCAGAACACTGGTGAGTACCAGGCTGCCTTAGTGCGGTAGCACTGCATTACAAACCCGGAACAGAGGACGAAAATCAGGGCTGTTACGGCAAAAGATGCTGCCGCTAAAAGCCGTTGCCACCGAGCATCGCCCTCACTGTGTAGAATGCCCTCTGTGCTCTTTCCAGGGCGCATGTCTGGTATGCTTGCGTCCCCGTCAGGGCAGGCAAGCGGCCTGCGGCCGACTTGCTCACTCGAGCCGGGAAATCGGACGAGGAGGAGGGCTGCAAGAGAAGCCACTGTTGAGCAGCTCGCAAGAATCAACCCCTCTAACATGAACTGCGCTCGCGAAGTGGGGGCCAACAGCACATATCTCCTGTTAGCTTCGTCGTAACCAGCAAAGGGTACTGAGTGAATGACACTAAATATCAAACCGCCGCTGCACAGCGTATATGCAACCACCCCACCTGCTGGCACGATCCACTGATTCCTGCGGAGGAACGACAACCCCTTTAGGAACAACCAACACATAAACAGCAACAATATGGGAAACAATATCAATATAAAACCGCGCATCTTCTGGCCATGAACCTGGTAGTCTTCTCGGGCATAGTTCACCTTCCTGCATCCACACACACCACAATATTCGGCGATTTACAACCGCCATGGATGCTCCGACGCCACATCAAAGCCTACTCGAACCACATGACTGGCCAACCCAATAGTGGCGATGCGTGTAGCAGTGGGGGACTATACGCAAGGGTTTACCTTTTGGTACGCGAATTTGCCCATTCAAGAAGGCGTTGTTCAGCTGGAGCCTCGTTCTTGAAGCGCTGCAGGAGGAACAACTGACTCTGAGAGGGAGAAAAAAAGTGAAACTTTCCGCGAATTTTGTCGCGTGTTTGCTGCTCAAAGAGCTCTTGTAACTTCTCGTCTTCACCGCCATCCCATCCATCATTAAGTGCGCCACTAAAGAACTCCGCCGTTACAATTCTGTGGCTAACAGCTGATAAATTGTCACTCAATGCACGTGCGTCTGAAAGTGCTGCTGCTGCTGCTGAACAGCGGGGATCTTGAGATCCCCTATTACTGCAGAAACCACGGAACGCTGTGGGAGGCAAGTGCATAACTATGGGAACTTGCATTGCTGGGTGAATTGCCGATATTCCAGCCCCATCTCTCGTACCAATATTTACAACAGCAAAAAATACAGGAAGTACATCTTCATTTCCTGGTGATGAGTCTAAGCAGAAGCCACACGCAGCCGCAGTGGGCACCCACGTGAGTTGGGCAAGATGAGCAGGAACTCGCAGATGCAGCATATGCTAACCAGAACCAGAGAAGCATATATACAAGGCTGATAGTGACTGTTCAACCGTTTTATCCCAATATACTAACCCACCTGAAAGCTTGTAGGCTCTTGACACTTCGCGAAACGCTGCAAGGGCAGCTGAACAGTCCCTGCACTTGCTGCTGAGTTCTTGCGCAATGTCGTCAGTGCGGCCCCCAATAAAGGTGAATAGGACAAACATGTGATATGGGCGGGGACCTCCGACGCTCTCAAGTGGAACCTCTGCTATCTGATCTGGGCTTAAGGGTGAACTGAAGCGATGCAACGGCATTTGCTTCAACTCGTGGGCAGTCATTTCCACTCTGGAGAGCATAAGGGCGTGGGTTAGGTACTCCAGATACTGCAATTCAACAAGTCCGTCAGTAGAAGACTGCCGGAGATGCAGCAGGTCTTGCATTATACGCATTGAGCCAAATCTCCTGTCAACCTTGCTATCCTTCCGTACGCCAGCCGTGAATCGATGCTTAGCCGATATCCCCTCAATATCTACGTCATGCTTGTCAGAAGTGACACTATTTGGCAATGAACTTCCTTCTGGAGGCTCTGAATATGGCAAAATACCAGATGGTTCACTCGCATATGCTGGGCAACATAAGAAGCCCACTCCCCACGTACACAGCGCCAACAGCTGCCACAAGTACAAATAAATCGGCATTTCGCTCATTTATCCCCACATAATCTCTTTATGGTGGAAAAGCTCAACAGACAAACCCTTTCCCCGTAGTGCAAAGTCATGAGTATTGTTTACAGAACAGCTGTAGTGCGCAGGCACTACAATGAAGCTCAGGCGTGGCCCCCATATGCCTCATATCATGGATAGGAATGAGTACTATGCAATATATAAAGGATTATAACACTATTTGATAGAAAAGCAGCATAATTGGATCAGAGTGCTCGCCAGGCCGCTCCCGGCTCGGGGCTGGGTGCGTGGCTGTCGCTGAGACATTGGTCCCGGGCGAGGGTCGGGCATCAGTTCTATTATTCTGGGTTTTCTTTCCGAACAATAATAGGAACGCGATAGTAATTTTGGTGTTTCATCGCATTTATGAAAGTTTTATGGCGAGAATCGTAGATCAGGAGTTTGATTAAAGCGTGTGCACTAATTCGGTATTGGCAGGAAACACACGTAGTAAGTAACGGCGTTGGCCAGCTGAGCACTACAATCCGGGGGTGCTGCGGGATATTTGAAATAAATTTTAGACACAGCTTATTTCACACAACTACTTCTTTCAACGAACCTGGGGACCTCTGAGACCAAGTTTCAGGTAGAGTATCGCCATGCACTCACGTAATGGCCGGGTGATAGGTGCAGCTGTCCCACCACCGCGAGCCGAATGCCCACCGTGTGGGAATCAAGTCGATCCAGCAGCCCTTCAGCACCTCAACATCCCGCCCTAACCCATTCAACCTCTCGAGGACTTTCTCTAATGTTGGCTCCCAAGAAACTGGCCACGGAAATGCAGCCTCCGGGACAGCAGATCGAGGACCTAGAACAGTATAAGTGAATCATAGATAAGTTGTCAATAAGCCTTTAACAGGCGACTGCGCAGCGGCCGGCCCCCGTCCCAGCAGCGCCTACTCCTCGGGAGAGGGGCAAAAACATGCAGTACTTTTTTTGGCGTATGGAGCGACGGTTCAGGAATATGAGTCTCTCACAAGAACAATGGGCTTATGGGCTATAGGATTACCTCGATGGGGACGCCCTAGGGTGTTTTGGGGACCTAGGACGAACCGGTACGGACATGACTGGTTGGTCATCCATTAAACAGGAACTAATAAAAAGCTTCTGCACAGTAGATCGAGCGACCCTCGTTCGTCAGATGGCAGCTAACAAATGGGCTAGGGGGGGCTAGGTGCGAGGTTGTAGCTGAGATCTTGGCCCCGGCCCTCGGCGAGGGTCGGGCATCAGTTCTATTATTCTGGGTCTTCTTTCCGAACAATAGGAACTCAATCGTAACTTTGGTTGTTAATTGCGTTTATTAGAGTTTTACAGCGAGAGTAGAGTAGGAGGTAGATTATAGCGTGTGCACTTATTCGGTATAGACGGCGAACACGCGCATTGACAGCGTTGGCCAGCTGAGCACTACACTAGTCGCCCGCTGATGGCAAATATGGGGGCAATGGGCTGGAATACCCAAACAGGGACCAACTGTGTAACTTTTACATGTAGTGCAAAATAATATACACTTTTTTGTAGAAGTCTCATGTTCTCCAAAGAACTTGCATGAGGACAGCTTATGCTGCCCTACGCTGCCCGTGTGTAACATACTCTCCGTAGTTTGCAGTAGCTTGCGCATGAACACCCACTGCTCCTTAGTAGGCGACCTGTACGCATGTATGCAGCCTGAAAGAACTCATAAACTCTTGAACTATTCCTTGCAGGGTTAGTGCATGCAACAAGGAGTGCGATGTTGTACTTGCACGTGGGGCTGTACTGCAACCTGAGCTGCAACAAGCTGCGACCCTAGACATAGGTGGCTCCCTTCTCTCCCGCAGCATCATGCGGTTACGCCGCTGTGCCCAGGAAGCCAATAGACTGGGGCGGGAGTTGGGCTGCTGTTCAGGGACTCAGACAATGAGTATTTACCTGCAGTGCAGCTCGCAATACTCCTTTGATACGGCCGAGGCCCCCATTACAGCATGAAAAGAAGTTAGCATCTGTAGAGTGTTCTTTCCTCAGCTAGAGTTTCGTTCCCCTTCAATGCCCCGGCATTAGTTTATGATGCTGTGTTTAATCTGACACCCAAAAGCACATTGGTGCTGCACTCCATATCTGGATTACACCGTAGACAGCTCCTGATTACTGAGAGCCACTGTTAGTGCTAGGCGGGCCCGGACGCCGAGTCTTCCATCGTCTCACAAAAGCCACACGTATCGCAACCCTGCACCACTATCTTTGGACACTTGGTGGTGGGTCTGCTGCACCCTCTCACCATTTCGCATGGTGAGAGGGTGCAGCAGACCCACCACCAAGTGTCCCTTGCCTGTGCCCATATGTTCCTGTTTCCGGCGCCAGTGCTAAGGATGCCATTACTGTTGATGCCGCTGCATTGCAGTTGCAGCTGCTCGCCAAACCGCGGTAACTGTGCTTTCTGGTACGGATCTTGCTTACCTAAACGAGTGTAGCTATAGTACCAGTTTGCGCATTTCCAGAACGCCTGGCGTAGTAGTGGGTTATGGGTTGCCCCAAAGCCCCCATGGAAATGGCCAACCACAAACATGAAGACAACAGTGATGTTAGCGTCCGTGCTGAGCTCGCTGTGAGCCGACGAGCAACCCTTCCTCGCATCGGAAATTTAATTGGCCCCTCCGAGTAAATAGTGTGTAAAAGCATTTGAGCTTTCACGATTCGTGAACCAGCGTTGATTATGTGACAATTCGAAAACGGCCGATCTTAAGGTGGGATTGGCATGTCCGAGGGGAGTCAAGGACGTTCTGTAGATACTAGCGAGGAATTGCATTGCAGAAGGTAATCCATTCCGATGCATCGTGCCTTGGCCATTCAACATACTAGGCAACTTTTCTGTGGCTTGTACGAATTGTTAACTCTTGCGCCAGGTATCTCAGCCTGTCACTGGTATGGCTAGTGACAACAAGGGTGTTAGTGGCGTCTTGCTTGAAGACTTCAAAGATATGGCTGTGATTCTCTGAACAGTTATATAGAGGTTACCGTAATGGTACGACGGCACATCCAAGTTGAGGTCACGTCGACGATGTGGAATAACGAGCCAACCGGAGGAAGAACAGCCAACAGTCTTAGCCAACGCACAGTGAAGCTCATCGGGTCATCGCCCTTGTCGTGCGAACTCACCAAACAAAGTCGCCTGACTTGTACTGTTCAACCTACTTTTTCCTGTTTTGCGTTCTTGATGTTTTCTCGTACATTGTTGCGCAGCTGCGAGCTGTGCGTGAAAGTCAGAATCTGCTGACGTACGGAGCTGGTCGCCCTGGCTGGCGAAAGCCCTCCAGGTCTAACAGCCGACGGTGTATCAGTGCAGACGACGAGTCTGGCAGAGCAACGAGTGGTGCAGTCCACATATGTTTTTCAAACTAATTCTGTACAAGGGAGGACTCCAAGCCAAATTGACATACCTTGTTCAGAATATAAAGTCGAAAATACTGACCTAGAGTGCGGTGGGCTCCCCGTTGCTCATGAATTTGAGCCAGAATGGGCTAAAGAATTCCGGATCCCTTTCAGCGATGGTTCTTTTGGGGAAACCGTACGGCCTCCAGAAAAGATATGCGAATAGATTGGCTACTCCCTCTGCTGTAGACGAGGTTAAGAAGGAGTAAAGAATGCTTAACAGCATAGTCTATCTCCTGCAAGTTTGAGCTGACCTAGCTTGCCACTGACGGCAACACCTCCATGAGATCCATTGTGACGACTGTCCAGGCCAGTTCGGGGTCTGGAATGGCTCCCAAGGGTCCAGGATTGCAATTGTTCTGTAACCTAGCTTGAAATTCTTCTGCGTCCGGGCACGAAAGTGTTCTGCATATTTCTATGCTGGCGTTTCGGGCGCGTGAGGAGGCATTCCGCCGCTGAGAGGCAAATCGTCAGTTGCTCAGAGGACCCCGCTGTTTGCTGCACTGCCCAATGGTCCGTCGCGTAATCTTTTGCTCTGCTTAAAACGTATGCGAGTGAGGAAGATAGAACGTATAATCTGCATAATCAGTGTTTCTTGGGGTACTGCAACGCGTCGAGAACCAAGCTATTGTCCTTCACCCATCGCTCGTTGCTGCGCGTAGCAAAGCATGCTGCCATGTAATTATATAAGGAGTAGGGGACACTCACTAAAAAAGACGGGAAACATCTAACAGGGGTGAAGTTGCTCAACACAGTGCCTGGCTTGTGAGACTCCGGGAGACTGTATTAGCAACCACATACCTGATAGCCTTTGTATGCTTGGCAGTGCAGCCGTACTGCGTGAATCAGCAAAGCCTCTGAGCTCTTTTGTTATCATAGAGTTGTCCATTTGGTTGTTGTGTGCTGAGCTGGTTGATTGTCGACCTGGGAATAAAGCTTCCTCGCAGTGCATCTCCGGAAGATTCGACAGTCTGGATGTGTTCTAAAAAAGCTGGTATACTTACTCTGAACTACTCGCCATAGTTGTGCCTCCCGTTTTGAAAGACAAAAAGTCAATAATAATGTTAGGTGTAACTGGAATCTTCTATATCTGAAGGACACACTTCAGTGCCTACTCATTGCGCCTCTTGTCCTATCCAGGCGGTCTGCAGACGCAAAGGCAGTCTTCGCCAAGTGACGTTGCTGTGAAAACATCTCTTTCATTCTATTGC